GTAAATTGAGATATAGCTTACACTTCAAAAGGCAACGTTTCAATTGATTAAATATGAGCGCTGCAAGTTTCAAAGTCAGGTGCTGTGCTGCTTTGTTTACTGCGGTTACCGAGAAACGGCTATATTCTTGGCAAAAAGCGCCACCTGCTGGCAGAGAATGAATTAGCATTTTTCAATAAGCCCTTCTGCTCAATGTTTAGACCAAAGCCAAAAACGACCTTTATTTTTACGCAGAAAACACACAGTTGTAAATGTTAACTGGTGGATCGACAAAAAGATAATGAATTATAAAACTCTAAAGATACAGCCTACACTAAGATATATTTATGTTACTAAATGAATATAATAGTTTGATAATAATTGTTTAAATTAATATAAAATAATATAATAATATAATATAATAATTGTTACTTTTGACTCCGCCCCCCCTCCCCCTTTCCCATATTTTGGTACACAAATGTTGACAGGTATGTAACACACAATTGCAACTATATACACAATTCTGACTTTATTACTTTCAATTCTGAGGAAAAAAGTCAGAATTGTGTTATAAAACTCGCAATTACCTTTATTTTTTATTCAGTTGCGGAAACGGGCTTTCATACTGTATTGTATTACATTACATTTTATGTTTAAAACTACGGATCTTTGATCATAAATCAAAGCATTTAAATATCATCTTACTAAAATTAAGACTATTAAATATTATTGAGAGATATAGAGTGACAACTGATATTCATATGCATTTTATGTAAGTATTCATTTACAACAATCTATCAGAATTTCATCTTACTTTTTGACCATATAAATAGTAACATCTGCACCAAATTGCATAATTCGCTCATTTTCAGCCTCTGAATAGTATGAGATCCATATTCGCATTACATGTATATCATATTATATAATTCATAAAAGCCTGATGTATCAAATAAGATACTCAACAAAAACACATATGCAAAGATCAGATTTTGTTTAAAGGTTCAACAAATTGTTCCACTTCAAAAAATTTGTTTTTTCTGACTAATATTTCATATGTCAGGCTTTACATCTTATCAAATGTCTCTGGTTTTATAGAGCATGATTTGTCATTATACCAAACAACAAAAAAATCTTTCTCCACCTGTGAAATCATTTTTCGGTTGACGCAATCAAACCTGAGTTTTCCGTTTCATATGAATGTATTGTATATCCCTGATCCGGCTGAGTACTCGGTTGTGGCTCTTTCAGAGAAACTCACTCTCATTGCACACGAGTCCCGTCCATCCGTCAGGACAGTCGCAGCCGTTTCTGTGTTTGTTACACACTCCTCCATTAGCGCAGTCCTCACACGACAGACTGCAGTCGAAGCCGAACGAATCATTCAAACATACTGCACAGAGCAGATGAGACAAGAGCTACTTTGCATCAGGGCTCTTACAGTTAACTAAAACCATAAAACAAACCTTTTTGATAACTGAAATAACGTCGCAGAACAGAATGACAGAATGTGTTTCTTACTGAATTTCTCAGTTATGGTGCTCTCAGCGCGCAGTTCTCCTGTGTCGTCCTCGTAGTCGTCGTATCGCTCCAGGATCTGCTCATAGTCCTGCAGGATGGTGAGCGGAGCTTGAGGTCTGTCCACCGTCTGACCACTGCTCAACGCCTCCACCGACTCCTGCAGCACTGACACACACAGTTGCTTTCATTAAGCCTCACGCTTGCTTCAAATGTACTATATGGAGCACATACGTTTTTCGGTCTGGTTCTCATGAGAGCACCTGAAGATTCGGTTTGGTGCTCACACTGCACATAGTGTTGACCCTACTATAAAAAATAAAATAAGTAACAGTAATAATAATAATAGTATTATTGCACTTTATTTAGTAATAATAATAAAGTGTGATAATACTATTATATTTTTAAATAAAAAAGAGTATTAAATAAAAATACAATGATTTTATAGTACACTTTAAAAATGCAATGCTAATATATAATATTTTATTAAATAAAAATACAATTATTTTATAGTACACTTTAAAAATGCAATGCTAATATATAATATTTTACTTTTTTAATTTGTATATGATTTTTCAACATTTTCAAACCTAAAATCAGCAAGCTTTTATTTTGGTGGGTTGTCGGCAAGTAAGTCTATGCACTGCCAGTTTTAGCGCTGCAGAGTGAAGCGTGCCAGTGAATGAAATGCCAGTTTTGTGTATTTGCTATGAAACCGACAGCGTATAGCCTAGATTTATGCTTTCATTTCAAATGGATTTGTATACATTATTACAGTTAGTCGATCTAAAACGCTGACTGTGCATTAAGAGCTGTCAACCGTGTCGGTTCGCACATGAGCACTTATGTGCACCACTGTCAATAATGTTACATTACATAAACTATACTTGAATATCTGCAATTTGGGTGAAAAATCTTCCGTTTTTGATGATCGTCCATTTAATATCTTGAGAACTCTTAACAAATAGAATCATGTTATCCATTTTAAAATACTTTTCATATGTCAAGGAATAGAGATTTGATCGTGGCCTTCTGATCAAGTCTCTGCAAAATGCTGTTAACATGATGAAATGACCTTGATTAAACTAAATTAGGCTTTTACATTACATCACTTCACCACAATGAGTCAGTTAACAATTCAGAAAGTCTTTGTTAGAAGTCTAATTTGAAATAAATCAGGAGAAAAGTAATTAAAAACAAGTACAAATAGATGTATTAATAAAATATATTAATATATTATATAATATATATTTTAAAACTAGAATGATTGTTTTTGAAGCCTTTCTTAAAAATCATTCTTGCGTGTAGAATATTTCCTTTATTTGATCTATTAATATAATATAATATAAAAATCATCTTAAAATATATTTTAAAACCAGAATGATTGTGTATATTTAAATTTATATTTTAAAATATATATTTTAAAAACAGAACAATTGTTTTTGAAGCACTTTAAAATCATTTTAGCGAACAGAATATTTCCCTTGTTTTGCTCTAATAATATAATATAATATAATATAATATAATATAATATAATATAATATAATTTTAAATAATATTTATAATAAATATTATTTAATATTTATTTTAACAATTGCTTTTGAAGCACTTCTTTAAAATCATTCTAGCGGACAGAATATTTCCGTTATTTGATGAATTTCTCATATACAGTAAAAGTTGGTTTTATTGCATGCATTATTTGTATTGTATGTATTAAATGTATTATTTGTTTTAAAGGAGCTCATAATTCATTTATTGTTCTGTATTAAAAATGATTATGAAAAGAAAACAGGTTCATGACAGGCTGAAGACTCACATATACATGAGTGTCTGTCTTCATCGAGACGATACCCGCGTCTGCAGGAGCACTGGAAGGATCCGGCGCTGTTCTGACACGTGTGATCACATCCTCCGTTTGCAGCCAAACACTCATCTATATCTGTAAGCACACGCATTTCTGGATCTAGATGCCTAAATCACTGAAAATCACTGCAAATGCTTTTTTTTCTCTCTCTCACTTTGAGTGTCATACCGTCACAGCTGCATCCATCAGCGTTCAGTCGATATCCGGCTGTACAGTAACACTCGTAACCTCCAGGATAGTTTGTGCAGTCGTGCTCACAACACGAGCTGCCGTCTACACACTCGTTTATATCTAACAGATGAAAACACACACCTTGACGTCACTCGGATACTGTGCTTGTGCAGCAAAACAGGAAATGGTCACGTTCGTTTCCTTTACCGATGCAGGTCTTGTGGTCGTCGTCCAGCTGGTATCCTTGGTTACAGCTGCACACGGGTCCATTGGTTGAATGTTCGCAGTGATGAGAACAACCGCCGTTATTATGATCACAGCTGTTTACAATCTCCATCTCGATACCTGAGAGTGGAAAACAGCACATTGAAAAGGAATGGAAATTAATTTCATCAGTGGAAACGGTTGGTACTGCGCCCAAATATCCACCAGATATCTGGAACGCAACTTTAGATGTATGCCCTTGATTTTCTTGCAGTTTTGAAAAATGTAAATTGAATATAATTTTTTTAAAATAGTATTTATGTGCATATTTCATAATAATAAAATTTTACTTATTCAACTTTTTTAAATTTGACTTTTTTTCACTTCGGCAATAATCTGCCATGTTTCTTCTTCAAAAAAGATACCAAACTTACGTCTGTGCTCCAATTCATTCAAGATTTACAACAGTTTAAGATGGAAATTAAATTTTCAGGTCTATACTCAAAGAGTGGTTAACAGTTAATAAATGGATCATTGCATAAAAACTTTTGCATAAATATAATATAGTACCATAAAATCCACTAAAAAACAAAATGTTAAACAAAAAAATCTTTATCGAACTTTGTGTGTGTGTGTGTATGTATATATAGATAGATAATATTATTTTTATAATAGTTTGAAATGTAATAATTCGATATAATTTAATATTGCTAAAAATGTGTTATTCTTTCTATTCTATGTGCATTTTATTTTTTCTATTTTCTATATTCATCTGTATGTGTGTATACGTATATAGAGTTAAAAAAGCATTTAATAACCACAGGACATTTTCATATATACATATATTTCACACCCATTGTATTCTATTCTATTGTGTTACATTCTATATTATTCTATTCAATGTGCAATAAATTACACCCTGCATGATTCTATCCACATATTTATTCATATACTGATGTATTTTATACTATTCTATTCATTAGTGTATACATACACACACACAAACACACACACGTGTGTGCATATTATATTTGCATAATATATGCACATTATTTATTTGTTTACACTCTGAAAGAAAGTAACAAACAAAAAACTAATTATTTAATGGGCTTTTTCTTGTTTTTGCTACATATGTGAGACATGTTGCATGGAATCTGATGGGGTCGGTCCAGACTCAGATCATACTCACGATAGCACTGCTTGCCATTAACACCCAACTCATAGGCGGCGGGACACACACACATGAAAGATCCCATAGTGTTACGACAACCGTGAGCGCAGTCCGCCTGGCCCGTCTGACACTCATCAATGTCTGACACAAAGAAAAAACACAGACACAAACACACAAACACTTACACTACACTTCAAAGATCATTTGAGTATGAAGACATGATGACCAGTGCAACAGTAATGTCATATCAGGTTTCTATTCTATAAGCATCTGACACAAACGCTACAATCTACACTAAATATAGGTCACAATCCAGGTACATTTTACCTTCACAGGTCTTGTCATCTTCAGCCAGCTGATAACCTGGACGACATCCACAGCGGGCCTGATCTCCATCCTTGCGGCACTCCTGAGAACAACCGCCGTTTCGCTCCGCACACGGATTCAACACTGATGACAGAACAACAGACTGTGTCACAGCTTTACTATTAATGCCATTATTAGGTTGTTGGGTGAACCCCACCCTCACCCCCCCAAACCCCAAACAGGCACATTTTCTCCACCATTCTCCTTGCTGTAACAGTAAGATCATGTGAAATGTATTTTAAATTGCATTTTAATTTGCAAGTATCTATTAAACTGCCATTAATGGCAATTTAAAATAAAATAAACAAAAAAATTAAAACTATACAAAAACAATAATATTACTATTTTAATGAGAATTTGAGAAGAAAATGTGACTTATTTCCCAGGAAAAATGTTTGAATGCAAAAACAAACAAATAAATAAATAAATATCATTATCCTTCATTGGTACAAAAAATAGGCATAATTTCCTTTATGTAATACATACATTAAAATGTTTTTTTTTTCATGTCTAGTATGCACTGCAATGCAATTTGCATTCAGAAACTTTTCTTTTCAAATTGTCATAAAATCGTAATACAATGTTTCCCACACATACCTTTTTAATGATGATTTGCCTTTTATTTGAAAAATAATGGAATGTAAAGAAGAAACACTGGTCATAAAAATAGATGTAATTTTACTATCATCACTATTATTACTATTATTATTAGGGGTGAAATGTGACCTGGACATGTTTTTGTGAGATTTATCATCTTGTTACACTCATTTCCCATCCTCCTCATCCAGCTGCTCCTCTCACATACTCAGTGTGTTCAACTTGTTTCTGTCCGTCCAACAGCTGCAGTGAAACGATCTGTCTGCAGCCAACAATTACACTTTTACAGAAACAGAATGGCAGAAATTATTCTGCAATCATGATCCTTCATCAGAGCGAGACACGTCTGTGTTCAACTCCAGATGACCTCAGAGACCAGACACAAAGACATGTCCCTGCTGAAGTCACCGGTTTGTGATATTGTGTCATCAAGTGAATCAAAGGGCAACTTCATCACAAAGACCAAAATCATATTTCCACTAAATCTCCTTGAGCAGTTCTTGTGATTTTTTGGGAACTTCAAAGGATGAAATTATTTGGCTTGAAATACATTCGAACAATAAGACATTAAAAAGAATGTTTTATATTACTTGTACAGTTAAAATTATCTGTCATTAGGACACTTATCAGCATATTCAATCATCTGAGAATTGAAATTTTCATGCATTATGTGTCAATGATGTTTAATAAATGCTTCAACCTTACAAAAAACAGCTCCACTATGACCTGTTAATCAGAGCAAACACATTCATATCTGTGTGTGGAGATCATTACAGTCAAGCTTTATCTTTATTCATTGCTAATGAATGCAATTGAAACTATTAAAACAAACAAAAACATCATTTATTTTCCTTCATATTGATATAAACCTGTTTGACTATGCTGAATGTCAAAAGGACAAAAAAGCAGCACAGATGCTTCATAAAAGTACTACATATGATTTCAAGTCAAGTTCATATAATAACTTTGCTTAACTACTGTTTATATAAATATATATATAACATATATATGACAAAAACATATACATATATTTATATATATATATATATATATATATATATACTGTATATATATATGACAAAAATGTGTGTGTGTGTGTGTGTGTGTGTGTGTATATATATATATATTAAATATATATAAAATTTACTATTTATTAATTAATAAATTGATTATTATTATTATTATTATTATGGGGTGCAATGTGACCTGGGCATGTTTTTGTGAGATTATTTATCATATGTGCACACTGTTAAACAAACTTGTAATGCAATTTTGACCACCTTTATGGTGTTTTGTCCATTTAGGAGCTTTAAAGCCCTTATGTTTGTTATGTGTAAAGAAAAGCATGAAAATTTGCCTAACATCTCTGTTTGTTCCACAGAAAAAAAAATAAAAGAATGTTTTGAACATGACAAATAAATGCTTTTTAAAGGAATACACATTATATTCTTTAAAGAACATTTATTTGCTGGTATTAAGTGGAAGAGGCTCCATAATAACAAAATAGATAAACTACACACGTCTCATTTGCTTGTAACACATTCAGCCTGTCTCCACCTGTGCTTTGCATTTTAGTTTCGCTTAAGTCAACAAGTGCTGTAAAACTGTGATGGTAAATATGTCGTCAAGCTCATGCTACCATCAGACATCTGTAATGCTCATGGGAAAGTCCTGCAGTTGAACATCAGTGTGGTCAGACTCACATTTGCAGTGTTTCCCGTCCGCGTCGAGTCTGTAATCGGGTCGACAGCGGCACTGGAAATGACCCGCTGTCTGCTGGACACAGAAATGCTCACAGCCGCCGTTCCCAACGCTGCAGGAGTGGATGGCTAAACACATGCAGACAGACAGACAGACTGGTGGAGAAGCTTTGAGAAGACAACACTAAGCTGTTATTGTTCAATTTAAAGATCAAACCAGTCATAATAAAGGAAAGACTCTTCGTTAAGTGTTTGACTCTAGCAGTTCCTGAGTTCAAATGACTCCTGCTGCAGGAACATCAATGACTCAACCAACCAAAACATGAACGAAGGAACGCATTGAAAATCACTTCAAACGTCTCAATTATAAATCAATCTCTATAAGCACACATACAGCAGACAGATTCATGCCAGAAACGCAATTTGTTCTGTAATTGTACTCTCCGCTTCCTTCTTCTGCCCTTTGTGTGTTTGATTAACTGTCCGTCATTCTCTCTTTCTCTCACTTTTTACCTTAAGAGGAGGATTACACTGTACAATACATTACGTCAGTTAAATCAAAATTATTTTCAGATGGTAACATACAAATGAACCTGTTTTATTAAAGTCAATTACATTATGAATAGATAGATAAAACAATGGATGGATGGATGGATAGAATGACAGAATAATGATAAAACAATGGGTGGATGATGGATGGATGGATAGAACAATAGAATGATGGATGGATGGATAGATAGAACAACATAATGATGGATGATGGATGGATGAATGGAATGATAGAATGATGATGGATGGATGGATGGATTGATGGATGGGCAAATGATGGATAGAACGATAGAATGATGATGGATGGATGGATGGATGGTGTGATAGAATGATAGAATGATGATAGAACAATGGATGGATTAATAAGGAATGGATGATAGATGGATGGATAGAATGCTAGAATGATGATGGATGGACAAATGATGGATACAATGATAGAATGATGGATGGAATGATAGAATGATAGAATGATGATAGAACAATGGATGGATGATGGATGGATGATAGATGGATGGATAGAATGGTAGAATGATGGATGGATGGATGGATGGATATGCAAATGATGGATAGAATGATAGATGGATGGATGGATGGATGGATGGTATGATGATAAAACAATGGATGGATGATGGGTGGATGATAGATGGATGGACAGAATGGTAGAATGATTGATGGATGGGCAAATGATGGATAGAACGGTGGAATGATGGATGGATGGAATGATAGAATGATGATAGAACAATGGATGGATGATGGGTGGATGATATATGGATGGATAGAACGGCAGAACAATGGATGGATGGATGGATATGCAAATGATGGATAGAATGATAGATTGATGGATGGATGGATTGATGGAATGATGATAAAACAATGGATGGATGATGGGTGGATGATAGATGGATGGACAGAACAGTAGAATGATGGATGGATGGATGGATGGGCAAATGATAGATAGAACGATAGAATGATAAATGGATGGATGGATGGATGAATGGATAGAATGATGATGAAACAATGAATGGATGATGGGTGGATGATAGATGGATGGACAGAACGGTAGAATGATGGATGGATGGATGGATGCAATGGTGATAGAACAATGGATGGATGATGGGTGGATAAAATGATAGATATATTTTGCTCTTATAAATATAGGTTAGAAAGGGGAAATTTCTTGTTTATGTCTGAATCAAACGCAATCCCAACTTTTGCCGAAACACAGTAATTCAGTCTTAATGGTCCTAAAAACAGGCTTCATTTCCTTTGAGTTAGTGATGTGTCATTCGTGAACGAGCCGGCTCTAAGAGCCGATTCTTTGTAGCGAACGAGAAGAACCGACTTCCGTCGGCGAGAGCCAAATCTTCAGCCGGAGCCTTCTATTTTAGGCTAATTTAGCAATTGTGAATGGTTTGTGTGTTGGTAACCAAATTTTTTTTTATTTAGTGTTTTCATAAATGCCTTATTTTTATGCATTTTTTCGTTACAAAAAAATTAAAAATACACATGCAGCTAATCACATGGGAGGACAGACTAGGATCATACTATTCTGTGAAAGAGACATTCAGTGTTGTATGATAAACATGACTCAATATAACAGTGCGACTACAGTAAAAAAACTTTTACTGTTCTAAAAACACAGATTTGTAGCCATTATTGGAATTGAAAAGGTTAGAATAAACCCGAAACACGTGATCGTTGTCATTCGGTGAATCTGGCCAATCGTGAAACAGCGGTGTCGTCATCAGGGCTCCTGCAGTCGCTCTGGAGAAACTGCGGCGGCTGAGTCAACCGGCTGCTCTCGAATCGCTCTCGCGGTACTTTGATGCTACACATGACAGTCACGTGGCGTCGGCGCCGTCTCAAGTCGGACAAAATTTCTAACCGGCATGCACTGCTTCAAGTCAGAATTTGATCGATCTGCACAGCGCTGCGTAAAGTCGAATGCACCTAAGCTCTGAAGATAGCAAGTGTAGTGGTATAGGCCAGGTACACAGAGCAACAAGAGAGACGGGGGAGCCGGATGCAAGCGTTAAGGTTGGAAGACACTGCATTGTTGCAACATCGGTCTCCTCAGAGAGAGTATTCTCAAAAACAGGACAAATAATCAAAGAGAGGAGAGATCGCATCAGCACATCCAAGTTGAAGCATCTGATATTTCTGAATGCCAACCTGCACTAAAGACTAAGTGTCTTAATGTTAAGACTTTTGCCTTTATTTGTTTGTTGTCTGTAGTTGCTGTGGTTCTGTGTTCAACTGTTCAATTAAAGTTTTATTAAAATGTTAAATAATAGTATCTGTGTATTTTATTTTTTTTGTAACGAAAAAAACTGCATAAAAATAAGGCTTTTATGAAAACAATGAATAAAAAATTGCTTACCAACACACAAACCATTCACAATTGCTAAATTGGGCTAAAATAAAAGGCTCAGAGTGATACTAAATAAAGAGCCAGTTGGGAGCCTTAAGAGCCGGCTCTTCTAAGGGAGCCGAGCCAAAAGAGCCGAATCTTTGAAAAGAGCCGAACTTCCCATCACTACTTTCAGCCAGATATACCAATTTTATATCCTGTGATTTTGGGGTGTAACATGAGCCTGGGCAGGTTTGGTTAGGTTTGGTTTGGCTGCGTGTGTGTTTTACCGATGCATGTGCGCCTGTCCACGTGCAGTCGAGATCCAGCGTTACACTGGCAGTGATACGAACCCCTGGTGTTCACACACTTGTGCTGGCAGCCACCGTTATGCACCTGGCATTCGTCAATATCTGCGGAAGAACATATTAACACACAATTTAATACTGTGTTATGAAACATTCAACAGATTCAGGTAAGGCCTGGTATTAGTACGTCTTTAATTCACCTCTAATTTCTGCACACTAAATCAGTTGGTCCAAATTCAAATCTGCTGGCCTGGGAAAAACGTCGGACACCAGGAGTAAATAAATAACAAACTCCTTATGTACAAACTCAAGCAGTGAGATTACAAATAAACAAAGTGAAGTGGTCATTTGTTTCACATCAAGATAAAGAACAAATCACAAAAAAGAGAAAACAAGTACATTCACGGTTCATTGAAATGTTGTAGGTTCTCAAACAGTTTTGTGGCTTTTGAAGCAACATTGCCCACTGAGATCAGAGCTAATAGAGTCACGGCCTGTTGAGAAAGACACTGTTACTGCTCTGAGATCAGCTTTCAGACAGACATGCTTCATTGGCACAGCTGCTATCCCCAAACTAAAATGTCTTTCCCACGTCGCTTGACTTCATGAATGTAAACTCACAAAAAATGCAAGGGAAACTGGAAAAGTATCAGATGGTCATTTTATATATGTATGTATGTATATACTAGGGATGCCACAATTCTCAATATAATATTGAACCGATATCCACGGTTCAATACGCACTTGTGACTTCTCATTACACTGCCCTTGTAATGAGAAGCGTTTCTAAACCAGGGGTGTATTCCAGAAAGCAAGGTTAACTTACCGTCACTTACACCATGAACTCTCGGCTGATTAACCCAAACCTTGTTTACTTGAGGTATGCTGGATTGTATATATTCATAATTATTATGAAAATACCTGAGATGGCTTGAAGAACACAGATAACCTACACATTGTCGGAGTCGAGTGTTTATTGTCTTCATGTTTCATAATTTAAAGCGTTTCTTCTTTTTACTCAGCTACAGCGAGAGCTGGATCAGAGTCCTGCACATGCACGGGTACCCGCGGGTGAACCGCTAATATTTGATGTAACAGGTGGAATAATATTTATGTGTCGTGCTTGTGTTCACGTTCTGTCTGAAGACCGTTAAAGGCTTCTCATTACAGCGCAATTTGCAGCACTGAGCATTATATTACAGCAGCTGTAGCGATTACATTAAAAGGAGCACTTTTTGCTCACTTTCTGTATTTAATGTATTCACAATAATAATAAACGTTTAAGCCTTCTTTTAATCTAGGCCTTTTAGACCTCTAAACATCTTGTATAGCATGGCCCTGTGATGTAATTTACAGTATGCACAATTTTTTCAAAACAGATTGCTTACATGAGTTATACAATAGTTTTATATTGTTTACACGATACACACTTTCACTCAGAAATTGCTATTAAATTTCACAAATATTTACAAAAAAAACAGCAAGTAACAGATTGAAAATATGAAATTTTGAAGTAGACAAACTAAAATAGTATACTTTCTTGTAAAACATACGCCATTAATCTTTATTGTTTTTACAACTTCGAAAAATTGTTTTTTTTACAGTGTTGTTGGACTTGGTGTAAATTCATCTGTTCACATCATTGCCACCTATATGTAAATATACTATTATTTGAATATAAATATCTTTCAAGTAAACAAATATTTATAATTTCTCAAGATGCAAGCAACATTTACTTTAACATGCATCTTGAGAAATTACAGTTTCAAAGAAGCTTCCCAACACTGTAAGTCACAGCTCAGAAATAAATGTTTCTGCCACATTTTTGCTGCTTGATTCAGAGTAAACTAACATGAAACGCACAGGCAGTCGACTCTTGTTGATTTGACTGCTCCTGCGGGTGTCCTCTCCTGCTAAGAGGGAAAAAATCCTAAAAATCACTCAGTTACGACTGTCTAGATCCATACGATCCCACAGCAGGTCTCTTTAGCCTTACGCTGCTTTCTCTCCAAACAAAACCTGCAAGACGCCGCCAACGCAAGCGCCACTGACTCCAAAACGAACACATGAGCTTTGTGTTCGAGCGACCTTTGACCTATAATATACTAATGACCAGCTTTGTGTTTCTGTCACCTCATGACACATGACACCTCAGGAGACGTTTTCATTGGCCGGTTTTACATTGATAGCTGTAATTCTGTAATAGGAGCCAAATGGAATATACAATTTTCCTTTACAAAGATTCATGTGCGAGTTTGATCAAATCATGCTCGGACAAAACATCTTTAGTTGAAGTTTGACTAAAGAAGTTATTTAAATCTGGTAACAATCTTTTTATATACTTCACCAGCTGAGCTCAATTTTGAGTCTATGAAAGTATCCATGGCACTAAAGGATAGCTGGCATTAAACAGTACATAAAGTCGACCGGTAATGGGAACCAGCTGAGTGTTTACCTATCGTGGAATCTTAATTACTGACTGAGATGCCAGGAGGCCTCAATAATCACAGGCTTCCTGCAAAGTAGGGCTGTGCAATATATCGAAATTATCGAAATATCGCGAATGTACATATCGCAATATACATATCGCTACGGCTATCTGCTAAATTATTTATTGAAATTATTATTTTACTAAAATAAGAGGGATCGTACAAATGATTTAGCACTGTCTGGAATAAGATATTTTACATAAAAGATGTTTGCATATAGTCCACAAGACAAAATAAGAGCTGAATTTATAAAAAATGACCCCCTTCAAAAGTTTAGATACGCTTGATTCTTAATACCTTTTTTATAATATTATTACTATTTTATATTATAGTGTTTTTTATCTATTATTATTGTATCATTTTTGAACCCTTCCTAGCAGTGACTATGATTTGAAGATCTATCTTTTTACGATGACGACAACTGAGGGACTCAAACTATTGCAAAAGGTTCGAACATTTACTGATGCATTAAGAGCTGGGGATAAAGACTTCCTGAATCTGAAGACCACGATAAACTGTATGTATTTTGTCTTCTTTCTTTTTTTGTTTTTGAAACAATTCAATTCCAATGCTAAGAACATCAAACAAACCTCGAACTGAATTGACTTCTTGAACAGTCTTTTGATTTTTAATTTCCCACTGATGTGGCATCTTTCAGCAAATCACCGCAGATTCTGGTTATAATAGCCTGGAAAGCACATGCGAAAACACAGTCGCCAAAACACAATATTCACCAATTTGACTGATTACTGCAGCCTTCTGAACTCCAAAATCTGGTTTGGCGTTTCAAAGGTTAGTTCTGGTTCATCCGTCACTGGAATCAGAATGACCCACACGCTTTAGTAATACTTCAACTATGCATGCTGATTCTGAGCCACTGATTCATGCCTGTGCCAGCATAGTGTCTCCAGCCAGGAAAGCTGGCAGACCCGAGCTGACTTTCCATCTACACTGCTGTTTGGTTGGGGTTTTAATTAAATTACAAAGTTACATTTCCCCTCATCGGTGGGGAATTTGGTTTGGCTTCTATTGAACACTCTGGAACGCTAAACAGTGTTTATAGATGTAGCTCGAGGCGAGCGGCACGCTGAGTCAGCGGAGGAAGTTCCTGACTGTGTTCTGCACTGCCTCGAAAACACTGATGACAGACGACCTTATACTGTTAACAAGATGTTTTAGACATTCTAATCATGGAAATCATATCTGATGCTTGCTAATCATTTTACTAATTGAAAGATCAAAACATCTTACAGACTTGGAGGTGGGCTGCGGCAAGAACCCCCCACATTTTCTTCAGAATTTATATGTATTTAAATTTTTTTTTAAATTAATTTAATTTGTATTTGAATTTCATAAGAGACAAAGGTAATAAGCATACAGTGTTGGGTGTAATGCATTATTAAGTAACTAATTACTGTAATTTAATTACTTTTCCCTTGAAAATTTTTTCTGTAATATAATTACAGTTACTTCTGATGTAACTCCATTAAATATAAAACTATAAAACAATTCTATATAAAGCAATAGTGGATTTAACATCAAATTTTAATATCTAATGTTTAAAAGTATGTTTTTATTGAAACCTTCTCAAATACTTTGGTCAGTTCAAGAAAAATGTATGCAATTTGATATTATTTATTTGAAAGAATTAAAAGAGCAGTTTCATGTCTATCCTTGTATTGTTCAACTGGTCGAGGTTAATATGGAACATTGAAAGTAATTAGTAACAAGTAATGCAATACTTTTTAGAGAGAATAATCAGTACAGTAATCTAATTACACTGTTGAAAATGTAATTAGTAGCTAGTAATTGATTAAGAGTTTTTTAGAGTAACTTACCCAACACTGTTATATATATTTAGTTTTGGATAACTAAAAAGAAAACTATTAAAAACTGTTTTCATTAATTGAAATAAAACTGAAATCAAATGTAATTATTAGAAAATAAATGAAGATATAATTATTAGAAAATGTAATATAATATAAAACAATGTAATATAATATAAAACAATGTAACATAATATAATATAATATAAAACAATATAATATAATATAATATAATATAATATAATATAATATAATATAATATAATCAGCTAAGCCAAAAATTTTTATACTATTATATATAAGAAATGTATAAATTAATAGATTTAAATATTACAATTATTTCTAGACTAATATATGGAACAACTATTCCATTATATTTCTTAACAATACAGAAACTATTACAAGACGCTAATGCAGGACAGCTCAGGTGGAAGTCCTCAGTTTAAATGGACCAATAAATGTTCTCACCTGGTCTCTGGTATCCCATAGTGAATCGGTGGTATCCATGGAAACAGTGTAGCCTATGGCAGTGTCCCAAATGATGCCAATAGCCAGAATAATAGGCCAGATCAACTGCATGAAAATTAAGTCCAATACACACGAGACAAAACATGAACCAGCCTGTCATGATTTACCAGATACTGAATCATAAATATCTGACGTGTCTATGATTGTAAAAGCAGCAAATGTCAAATGAAAGTTCAAGCAGTCTGAGAGAGACGGACTGAAACAGCAGGTTTTATTCCCTCCCTGCCCTGACTCACTCTCTCCTCCTTTCATGTCTGCATCTCATGTACTTCACAACACTTATGCATGAATGCAATCAAAATGTAAATTTTGAGTGGAATTAATTCTGCTGTTCTAATTTTGTCTACCATGAAGTCATGTAAAAGGATTATTATTGTATGGCTCTCTAGACTACTTGATTCTGAATAGATAACTGCTGTATTCAGTTGTCCAATATTTTTCTGATAATCCTGTTCCTTTACATAATTAAAATTGGTCAATTATCTAATGATTTTATCACAAAATATGACAATTTGTTGCCATATATACATGTGCATGAAACCAAACCACCACAGCCTGTATATTCTGGCATTCAAATACATATAAAATATGTGAAGCAGGATTTGGTTTAATATGAAAGAGTTACAAGAGCTAAACCATCTGTAGGATGAATACAAATATCTGAAACATCAGAAAGATGAATAAATCTCACAGAGGCATGTCTCAGATCTATCTATCTATCTATCTATCTATCTATCTATCTATATATCTATCTATCATCTATCTATCTATCTATCTATCTATCTAAGTCACAAGTTAAAGTCATAACATCTGTTCTCATGCGCTAATGACAGTAACAGTGATAACTGCCATCTAATTTGTTCAGTTCAGTTGTTCCTCTACATGTACTATCTGTTAAAATGCTGAATAAGAACACTTAAAGGGGTCATCGGATGCCCATTTTCCACAAGTTGATATGATTCTTTAGGGTCTTAATGAAAAGTCTAAAACATACTTTGGTTAAAATTTCTCAATGGTAGTGTAAAACACTCTTTTTACCCTGTCAAAATCAGCTCTGTTTTCAGCATGCCGTTCTAGTCTGTGTTGCTTTAAATGCTAATAAGCTCTGCTGACCCCGCCCCTCTCTTCCGTGGGGCGATGAGCAGACTGTAAACTTCAGCCGCGAAACTTGCTAACTAACACATATTAGGAAAGGCGATTTGCAAAGATTCATAAAAAAACCCTTATACTCACTTCTTCTGTATATGAAGCTGGATCACAATGATTCGCGCGAACTTAAATGCATTTAGGCAGATCAGGGATCGGCGCATTCCTTTCAAAAACGAAAGTAACGTTAATCCTCTGCGTCTTCAGCGGCTCAGATATCGGGAGTAAATGATGACTGCTATATTCATTATTACATCCAACAACAGAACACCTCAATCGCTTAATCGGAGACATTCTTGTCTTCCCCTGCACCGGAGTCGACATAATGGCGGACAGCTCTCAGCTCACTCAGGGCGGGTCTTAAGGTAAGACGGACTTGTCAATCAACTATCGGGGGAGGGGCCTGTGCAGAACTACGTCATTCTGACAGGAATCTCAGAACAGCCTGATTTGAGAAAGGGTATTTTAAAATAGGGATTTAAAAAAAAACACTGGGTGGATTTTTATCATTATAGGGTGGATGTGTACACACACTTCCAACACACATTTATGTTCAAACAACAACAAAAGTGAATTTAGCATCCGATGACCCCTTTAAGCAAATGCAATCAGCAACTGGTGTTATTTTGTACAGTTGTCCTGAACATGGGGAAAATATCGATCATGCCAAAGCATCTCTGCTGAAAACCAGACAACCCACAGTTAAAAAAAATTTGCTGGCAAATCTGACATTTCAGGCTTCCAGAAAAAGATTCCAGTTTCTTTGATTGCCATCTAAGGCATCTCCTGGAAACCAAATTCTGGTTGATAAATGAAGGTTTGCAATGCTACCAGTTGTTGAGGATGTCTGTATTTTGCAAATCTGTCTCTGCAAACGTTTTGCTAAATACAGGTAGGTTGATTATTATGCATCTAGATTCTGTTCTAGATTTCTGCATTAAGTGACATTCTGTTCCACTTCTCCAAGTAGGAAGTTGTAAATTCTGACTTTCCTAGCTGAATGGAACAAACAGGAAATAGAACCCACATGCAATGAGTTTGACTGGCATTTTGGTGAGAGCGCCATCTTTGCTGACAGTATCTGTCTGATGAAAAAGCATGAATTGCAGAGAAACAGAGAGAGACAGAGAGCAGATGGGACTCACCCTGGCAGGTCTTGCCATCCTCTCTGAGCTCCTGACCTGCGGGACACTTGCAGTAGAAGCTGCCGATGGTGTTACAGCACAGAGCTTCACACCCTCCATTAGTCTCTTCACACTCGTTTACATCTGACAGCGAGAGAGAACAAACACATTACAGTCTGAACTACAGATGCAACAGTTTGGACAATCTTTTCCAAATGTTTACAATTTGGAGACACGTGAACATATTCAAACAGACCAATTATGAAACTTCACCCCTATATGCATGAGGGTGCATTATGAACAACTGACAGGATTGTGTGCTAAACTAAACATCACTGTTACTATTGCTAAAAGTATATATTTATATACGTTTTAAAATAAAATACAAATAACATTTCAGGTTTATTATTAATGTTTTTTTGTATGTAGAGACAGACTCCAAAAAGACTCACAAACTCGTTGCATAGGTCATCTGAGGTTTCAACAAGTGGGTATTGGTGGAAATTCATTGCCATACTAAAACATATTATACTTTTTCCATCTTTCTGTCTTAAAAATGTCCCAACATAGTCATTATAAAAAGAGGTTGTGCCCATGACAGTCTGCTGCCAATGAATAAATCATATGTGTAATGAAAGACACATTTAGCTGTTCTTCACTTTAACAGGATTTGACAATAATGTTTTTTTGATTATTTAGTTGAAGCTACTGAAATCTGGACCGCCAGTTGAGTTTCATGGGAAAGTGCTCATATGAAAACTGTCACCTTGGCCGTCTGTCAGTTTCCATATCTTTTTACTCTATGAGCACATTGTTGCATGTACGGTCAGAGGGTTTGGTGCATTCTGGGTATGAGAAAGTACAAGCACACATGTGTATATTACCTGTAGAAATAGTAAAAGCATTATGCTTTTCCAATTGTATTCAAAGATTCTCCTTAAAGGCATAGTTCACCGAAAAATTAACTCAGGTGATCCAAAATGTAGGTGACTTTTTTTCTTCGGTAGGACAGTAAAGACGATTTTTGGCTGAAACCGTGGTCCTCGGTGATTCATAAAATGCAAGTCAGCGGCTTTCCGTTTTTGAGAATTAAAAAAAGCATATCAAGGAGCACAAAATTAATACCTGTGGCTCCTGACGATATATTGAAGTCTTATGAAGCGAATCGATCGGTCTGTGCAAGAAACTGAATATTATTTACAACATTATTACCTGTAATCTGCATGATACTCAATCAAAACTCACTTTCGGTGACAGTCACTCCCACTCAAAATGAGCCAAAATACCAGCGTATATGATCCTATGATGAACTCATTCAGCGCTCCAGTTCCTCCAACAGTCACTGAACTGAGAAAACAGTTCGACCAAAGACCGATAATCCCGTGATCTGCACATGCATGAACCGAGCATTTTAATGAAGTTTTTATGGTCTCTCACTGTTTATGTAAAAAGGTGAGCTGATGAAGACAAGTTTATTCACTTTATATGCTTTAGACATGTAAAACATCCATGTTTCACATCATTATTGGGTGCATAAATAATGTAATTACGTATACATTATGTTATTGTGTGATTACGTAAATGAACTAGTGAATTGAACCAGTTTATAGAAACGAACTGCCCGAAAGAACCAGTTCGCGAAAAAGAATCGAATTTCCCTGTTTGCCAGAGTCTCTGGATTACATGTTGTAAATAATGTTCAGTTTCTTGCACAGACCGATCGTTTCGCTTCATAAGACCTCAATATATCATCAGGAGCCACAAGTATTAATTTTGTGCTCCTTGATATGCTTTTTTTATTCTCAAAAACGGGCAGCTGCTGACTTGCATTTTAAGAATCACAAACCACGGTTTCAGCTAAAAATCTTCTTTACTATTGTACTGAAGAAAAAAAATCATCTACATCTTGAATGGCCTGAGGGTGAGTAAATTAAGAACAAATTTTCATTTCTGGGTGAACTATCCCTTAAAGACAATTTCAAGGAAGTCCAGAACCTCATTCGTTACAAAAAGGAGCATTAAGTGTTTTCTTCCCATGTCCAACAAAACCACTTCTTTTTTTCCAGTGGACACAAATCATCTAAATGGGATGGAGAGGGACGTTTTGGCATTTGATTGGCCTCAAACCACTTTAAGTTAATCAGAAAAAAATGAAATAGCTGGAAAATTGTGTCCTTCAACAGGCCAACCAACCTCACAGCGAGAGGCTTCGCCATTCATTCAGGTTTCAATGCAGATGTTTAACCATCCTCCCCATTACACCCCATATATCCAGCTCTCACACTCAAACACATGGAGATGTTTATGAGAAAATCGTTTTGTCGGTTTCCCAAAACATTATTTCAATAAAATCCTCGCCACAACAAATTGGCCCCTGAAGAGCCGAGCGATGTGTGCTGGAGGAGGAAATAAACATAATGAATCAGTGAGTGGAGCTGCGGCCGGAGGAGATCACACCATTACAACTCATTAGTCAAATTCATTAATTATTCATTCATTTTAATGTAAAATTTAGTATTGAACATTAACTAATAAATACAGCAGAAGTATTGTTCATTGTTCATGTTCATGTTAATTATTGCATGAACTAATGGCTAATGTCTACAACCATATTATAAAGTGTTACCGACGTTTAATCATCACTAAATAGATTAAAAGTACCAAAGAAGGATATTTGGTGAAGGATGACAACAAAGAATATGAGATGGATACAATTTATCCAATAAAATGTTGGAAAATGGGTGATGCTTCCTTCACTCCTGCAAATTAGATGACACTGTCAATATGTTAAAACAATCTATGTCTTCCATTATATTCAGCCACAATGAAAATAAAATGATCGACAGGTGAGTAATTCATAATGTCAGCCTGCACATACAATCATCTATATCCAGACTGAAACATCAACAAGGAAATGGAGATGAACCACATTCTTTCAGTAAGAGGTCACGACCCCTTTCATGACCCGAGGCCGACCTGCTGGTCAAGGACTTGAAAGAGACACCCTGCGGGAATGGCAGCGTTTTCTTCAGTCAGGGGTCCTGCTTTAGGCCACACATCTGCACGGAGACGGAGACATGGGGTTTGGAGGAGGGTGTACAAACATAGCTCATTTAATAACCGACACAGTATTCATCTCACTATCATCACCTCATAATCATTTGATCAACCAACGGGTATTGGGTAAAATGGCAGTGGGTGGAGTCACACAGACCAAAACAAAAACACACATTCCGACATGGAATGCACATTTCAAAGAAAAACAACTGGCTGTAGCATTGTTTTTTGGTTAAACAAGTATGTGAACTTAACATGTTTCCTAAATATCTGCAAACATATGGCATTTTTATGCTTTACTAAACTCAAAACATCTGATCTTACCTTTTAACATTCTTATACAATTGGGCTCAGATGAGAAGACATCTCATCGGGGCCAATAACCTCATCTGTAATGGCTATTTTGACTGTGAAGGATTTTTTTTCTTCCCTTTTACGAAGGACTATTGCTGCCCTAATGGAAATGTAAGTAAAACTATTCCAAAATCGTATTGTCCGAACCTCCACTGGGAATGAAATATAGATCTTAGATATATACAGAGTTCTGGCATGAAACTCTAGATGGCGCAGTCCGATAGGTCTAACTCAATCTGACCTATGACACCATTATCACATGGCACAGCTGATTGGTTCTAGTGATTCATGTATGCTATATGGGGGTTATTCATATGTGTTTTATGTGCAGCAGCAGTATTTCTTACATGCTTACAGCAGCATGTTGTGGATGTATTGGCAGTAGCAAGTCTCGGTACTTCTCTTGTAACAGCAGCAGCATAGCAGATCTATTCCGCCAAGACCAAATACATTAACATTGTCATGTACATTAACATGCCAAACCCTCAGAGAGTTGTCATGACAGAACTATATTTCGCCTGTCTATAGAAATAGACTGGACCTTTTGGGCCTTTAATTGAATTCCTCTGATATATAAGGTACTTACTGAAGGTACAGTAGCAAAAAACAGCTTAATTTAAAGACTGAGAGAGGGTTAAAATGCTTATAAAAACCAAATTACATGACATTTTTAGTTATACTATTAATAAAGTGGTTTTACATATACATAATATTTATTATACATTTTTTATAAAACCTTATTAAATTGCATTTTAACTATAAGTTGTGAATTCTCAAATTCTGTATTTTCATTGCATTACATTTAAATGCATGTTAAATGCATCTTGTGATTTACGCTTTTTTTTTTTTTTTTGAATGTATTTTAATCAATTTCATTTTGCTTCCTTTTTCCCCATTCATTTTTTTTTTACCATTTTTTTAGTAATAATTTTCTTAAATTACTTCAAAATTAAATTTCATTTTTTTATTACATATCTTCTTTAATTACTTTTATGATGTAAAATTACCACCATATATGTGAAACGTACTATAAGTAAACTTGCCTTATAATATGTGAAGCAGCCATTAAATGGGTAATTCTTGTAGCACATTCACAACAATGACCTTGAGCTATAGAAGAAAAATGTGGCTCGCCTGCTGTCAGTGGTGTAAGTTTACCCCCAAAATATTCTGTAACAAGTAAACATGCTCATTCTGTTAAAATCAGTTCTCCAGAATCTGAAAGCAAACCGTTGTTATTGTGAGAGACACAGTTTCATCCTTCTGTTCTTCTGGAGCATAACTTTCAGACGCAGTTTGTGTTGAGACAATGTGATGTTTAAATTTAGTTTCCGGTTTTGCACAAAATGTGCTTTGTCAGGAGGTTATGAAAGAAAACTGGCCAGGAATTTGATGTTGGATGATGTTCAGACACGATTCCTTTGTGTTACAACAGATTTGTTTCACCAACAGAGTCATTCTGTCAAAAGAACAATACATCATAAAGCTATGCATGACATCACAAACAGAACCAACCACAAACAAAGAACCAGCTGATCTTTTAATTCATTTTCGTCTATTCAAACTCACCACTCTAACTCGAACAACATGCCAAGCTGAAATTTAAAGGAATAGTTCACCCAAAAATGAAAATTTGCTGAAATGTAAATGTACCAAGATGTAGATGAGTTTGTTTCTTCATCAGATTTGGAGAAATGCAGCATTGCATCACTTGCTCAGCAACGGATCCTCTG